AACAGTATGTATTTAATTTACATGCAGTGTTGTAGGCATGGGTGATAACATATGGAAATCACACTTTGAAAAAACAGCCACGACATCCACCACACCAAAAGTGCACACACTTTTTCCATCCCAGCAAGCTGTTTTCTAAACACCTCCTTCTCCTGTATTAGGTCTATAATTAGACTTCAGTAAGGAAAAGTAATGTTTACTCAATTTGGTAAAAGCATTAATATGTGGTTACCAACATTTGCTTTTAAAATCCTAAATTACTATTTTCTATGCTGTTCCATAATAAATATATTTCATCTAACACACTGGAAGAGGTTTTATCTTTCAAAACCACACCAAGCTAGGGCTTCTCCAGCTCAAGTGGGGGAGGTGAGGCAGAGTGGGGACTAAAGGGAAGACTGTTCCCAGCCATGGACTCCCCCAGCAAATCACCAGACGTTTCAACTCCCTTTATTGCTAGCTGGTTCTTCATCTATACCAGTTATTAGGCCCTATCCATATGGCTCCAAAACATTTTCATTACCGTTTCTATCACTGCATTAAACCACTCATGAAAACTAGAGTGGAATGACTGATAACACATTTAAATCCACCTAAAATCCCAGTGGCTGTCAAGAATGTCCCTAGGCTGTCTCGCCGTCAGCATGGCACAGCTGCTACGGAACATGAAGGGAATAAAAAGCGAGGCTGGGACTGCTCTAGACACAAATCCACACAAGGCAGCTCAAGCTCTGTTTCTTTTTCTTGCTCAGTCAGTTCCTGGCTTCCTTCCCATCACAAGGGCTGCATTACAAATCTGTGCTACCAACTGTGGGTCCAACTGGCCTTACCCACAGTCACAAAACAAAACCGAGAAACCCCCAGCAATGAACTTCTACTTCCACTAAACATGTTTTCACAGAAGCTAGATAGCTCTTCCCAAGCCCAGCTAAACCCCAAGCTCAGCTCATTCTAATACTTCACCTTCACAAACTAGTCTGAAGACCTGGAGGCAGCTACTTAAATCAGTATGTTACAGGTTCTTCTTGACTGTTTTCACCATTTAACAGACAACCAGTAAGGGTGAAAGATGCAAACCATAGTGGAAGTCCCCAGCTATTTCCTCACGTTAAAGCACAGAAACAAGGGGAATTTTAAGTGAAGGAAGAGTAATTATAACCTGTTCAGAACAAGGCACCTTTTTATCATCGAGGAAGTGAGGTATAAATGTGCTAGGTCGGCCAAATGCTATGTTCAGTATTATTACAGCATGAGGAGGTGAATTAAAATTATTCAGGAATAAGAGAATGTATTGTTTTGTCAAGGCTTTCATTACCATTGCCTGAATTATGCCTATTCTTTGGATTTTAAAATCTGTATCTTTAGTAAATGTAGAAAAAACAAAGGTAATAGCCATGTGTGTAACAGCCCATTTCATTTGATTAAAAAAAAAAGTGGCAGTTTTCAGAAGGAAAGTTTTATGAATGGTGATCCCTGTTCAGTCTCCTGACTCACCAAAAAAAAGTCACTTGTCTATTTTGTTAGAGAAGGGATTTTAGGCAACTACAACAATGCTCATCATGAGACTGTAAGGGGGAGGTTGGACTGTCTGGGATGGGCGCGGGGTCTACAGAGACACACCCCTAAACTGAAGGACCTGTGCTAGGGACACAGTAAAGCTTTGGCTCTGACATTTTCTACTCCTATTAGCTGCTATTAGCTCCTATTCCCTCCTCCTTGGTTTACAGGTGTCCTGTTCAGGAGCACAGATCCTGCTTGTTCAGTGTATCAATCGAACAACAGAAGGAGTTTGCAAAGCAATTCCCTCACACACTTGCTACATTTTCTTATGTATGGCAGCGTTTTTGCCTGTTCTAGGAAGCAATCCTTGAATTTATTGGCATTATATGCCTCTCAGATTAAATTTAGTGTAAGATATGGTGCCCAGCAGTTCCTTCAGAGGTTGGGGGAAGAAGGGGAAATCAAATACTGGTCTTTGGTTTCATTGCTTATTCTTTATTTCTTGGGAAGGTTGTTGGCTGCTTTCCAGAGCCTCTCTCTGACACAGCTGGAAATGGAGAAGTGACTCTTTTTCCTTACAAAGAAGCAGCACAAGCACAGAAAAGATCTTATGTTAGTGCTTTCTTCACAAAAGACTACATGGGCAAAGTTCAACAACAACAACAACAACAACAAGATTTTCCCAACTACCTACGGATTGTTCTCACTTCTGTATGAACACGGCAACAAGAAATTAAGCAAGAAGCTACTATGCAAAAAACCTGAGATTTTGGGAGATGGAACCCACACTCTGTCATCAGAAGCGTAAGGAGCAATTTTTAATTTTATTTCTATTGTAGGGCTCTGTCCAGGCAAACTGGAAGTGATTCAAGATTAGATGCTTCAACGCTTCCTCTGAGACATTCATTCATCCTTTCAAAGTCATGTTTCTTCCTTCCACTCACGCTTTCCTAGTAGCATGTTGCTTCATTATCTTTACAACATGAATTGCAAACTCTCAAATCAGCAAAGTCTGACGTGATATTACCTATCTTCACACATGCTACCAAGTGAGCCCTCCTTTCCTTTGAATTTATTTTAACCTGGTATTAGTATCAGTAGTAAACTGACTTGAAAAAGCATTAAATGAGTGACTTGTTTCAAATACTTCAATATCTTCCCTGCCATCTGCTATAACCATTTCAAAAAATTAGTAGCTTCTCAATAAATCTGGCTTTGATTTATGGCACTCACAATATGAAAAGCATGTTCTAGATCAGCATATGTTGAAAAATTGCTTTAAAAAAACCACAAACAAACAAAACCCATGCCCACAAAACACACTCTTGTATGCATCCTGCTAAACTAACCATTTCTTCTAGTGCAACATAGTATCATGGGTGAGGAACGACCTCCATGTGTAGTATCTTCAAGTGTCATGTCATTATGAGCCTAACTTCTATTTTAAGGAACTGCACTCATCACTATTTGCTTGCATTGAATTACAAAATGTATTTTTTTTAATATATAGATAGATATATTAAAAATATAACAGCACCTAAAGATGTGTAGAAAAAAGGTATTTATTTAACATGTCTCTGTTTCCTACCACAGATTATGACCCCCATGAATTCCCAAAGCTGAAGTCTATGCACAGTCTGCATGAGGAGCCTCCTAGGAGAAAAATGCTTTAAGCACTCAGACTACTGTACACTTCTGCTGTAAATGAAATAGACCATCCTCAAAAAACAAACTTTAAAGATTTAGAAAATTAATTTTGTGTACAGATAGGAATGCAGAATAGAAAACTTAAAAGAAAGATGGGACTGGTTTACTTTCAAATTCCGTAATTTGAGGATGACTTTTGCATCAAGGGAAATTTCATCTTTAAATCTCCTTACCTGCCTCAGCTGGACTAGGGTATTGGCAGCACTGAGCAGTTTGTTTGAATAAGAGAAAATACAACTTTTCTTCTGGAGCTAGTTTCTAAATAACACCCTTTCTCCCACCACTATTCCAGCCTCTGCAAATAATAAATCAATCACAAGAGTATGTTGAAACTGGGGAAAAAAAATTAACAGAGCTATTGGCTTAATAAAGTTTCACTGAAGTCTTTGATAAATGTAACTGGGCCCTGGAAATAGATGACTGACTTCAAAATATTCTCTCCTAAACAGCTTATGAACCAGCCAGGTTTTCTGTATTCTTGATGGTGAAGCTGAGCTGAAACAGCTCTCTTGACATTCAACAGGATGAAACCACTTCTTGTTTATTTGAATGTTATGGACAGAGAAAGTAGGAAATGGAATAACTTATGTTATACATACATCTATAAACTTTTGCTTGTGTTTAAACAGGTCCTCCCCACCAGGAGGCTTTCAAAGCTTTTAACTCTACTTTTTCTGATATTGAAGAATGAAATGGAAGACTCTTCCATCACCACTCATGCAATAGTTCCATTACATCTGAAAACCTTGATGGTCAAGCAGGATAAGCAGCACAATGCATCTCCTTCTTCAGTTTTAAATAGGCGGCTGCCTCTGTCATGACTGCACATATGTAAAGCCATTGTATCCTTTGGCTGCAGCAAGTAGCTAACAGAACTCTCCGTCGGGCTTACTTGCGTAACAAGCCCTACCCAAGTCTGAAGGAAAAAAAATCCTTGGGGATGATGGCTTCCATCATTATAGCAGCAAATTAAAGCAGTATGAGATAGAAGTGATTTCAGGCTATCATCTAATATATTTTCCAACACAAAAACAAAAGATATGAAAGTAGCAGTGCTGAACTGTGATGTTCAGCTCGTTGTCCTTTATATTTCTGAGACAAAAATCAATTAATTAAATTCTGCTCTTATTTTTTATGAACCATCAGAAGATTGCAGAGTTCCATAATTACCCGAAGGTAACTCAGCTCTTGCTTAGGTAGGTTGTTAAAATGAACTGACTAGTGGAATTATTTCAGTTTTAACCACGTGGCTGCAGCACGTTTAATGAACAGCAGTACTGTACCGCATCCCAGCGCTCACTTGTTCTGTTCCCTTCTTGTGGCTACCACACACAACAGCTTCTGTGGAACCATGTTAAGGCACCAAAAGCTGTCAGTGGCTTTGCAGCCTAAGCCCTTGTGTGTGTGGCAGACAACCCAACACCTCCTAGGTCTTCACAGCACTGCCCACATTTCTTGCTTACAAGCTTCCACATCCATCAGCAGAATTTCGGCGAGATGTGGTAAGCTGCTCAATTCCCCTGTTGCTATGGTTCTACAAAGTGGTGACTACTGATTTTCCTTCAGTCAAGACACTATTGTTGCCTAACTATGATTATGATCGTAAAGGTATGATCGTTAAAGGAATCTTAATATCAGAAGTTTCGGTTTCCTTCTCAGCCAACTCAGGAAACAAAATAAGGCCAAACCCAGAAAGGATGACAACGCTTCAGCAAACTTCCACAGTAACAGTGATTCTTTCTTATAGATTCAT